TGTCCTCGACAAGAAGCTCTGGATAATTCTCCTCAGACCTACTATTACATATACTTACACGTATCCTAACTACATCTTGCCTCACTGGCTTATTAACGCAAATCATTTTTTTTTTTTAGTTTAAAAATCATTACAGGTGTAGTGGTTCTTGCCTTAAACCCAACTCTCTGGAGGCAGAGACAGGTGAATCTCTGTTGAGTCTGAGTGCTGGGATTAAAGGCATGGGCCACCACCACCCAAATGAATATAGAGTTTTACAAAAGAAAAATCACAACCCTCAAAGAAAACGGATCCTAAGAAGTAGGACTTCCAGAACTACCAAGTGGAAACATGGTAAGCTCGGCGATGACCTTAACAAAGAACTGTAAGAACTTCCCTCTTTGCACTTAGCAAGAAAAAAAATCTTCTAAAATTAAAATCCACACACCATTATTTACTCAACCGACTATAAATATTAGAAAAATACATTTCTAATTTCAATTTTTTTCTAAGTCCTGACCAAAATACTAATCTGTCAACTCATCCTTAATTTCTCAAACCACTTAAATATTCCTAGTTTGGTATACTTGAAAACTAACATATACCATGATGTGATATATGTTTGTTTTATAATTATCTGAAGGTCATTTTGAAAGTCAAGGAACTGTGAGTAACAACAGACAAGCACATGAATGAAGATGGTAAGAGCCTGAGAAAAGCCAACGTTTTTTCCTGTGAAAAACCTTTGTTGCTTTTTCCTGATAACAGAGATATTTAGCCCCGTCCCTGAAAAATTAGACTAAATACATTGTGAACTATTTGAGAGTAGAGAATGCTGGGAAATTAGTTCCCAGCTCATTAAGAGGAAGAAGAACTCTAAAAAGTTACTGGACACATTCCCAGTCAGGTAACTATGCAATAACAGAACCCCTTTAAATTACACTTAGTTATATAAAAGGAAAAGGCCCCACAAACTAATAAGCTGTAAAATTTGGCTTTGTTGTAATTTAAAAGAGGAGCTTAGGTGTTGGGGTTTTTATTGGGGGAAAGTGAATGGGAAGGGGGGGAGACCAGCCTCTGGGGACAGGACAGACATGGGGGAGACAAGAGGAGACAGGGAGGGAGAAATGAGAGGCGGGCAGGGCCCTTTTAAAAGGGAACATAGTGAATATGCATAGGTGTTGCTCTTAGTGGCTGCACTGAGGGCTTATCCTGTCAGAACCCCAAGAACAGGCCAGTACAGATGCCTGAATACTAACAGGCTTTCTCCAAAGGTAGGCAATAATGGGTACACTGTTTTAATAAGTCTGAAGATAGGCCAAACTCTGAAGCCTTTTTATAATTATGCAAATTAAAATTCTAAAATGAACTGGCAATCTGGATATGACAACTCATTCCCTTGTAAGCCCAGTTCTTGGGAGACTGAGGGAAGACTGGTGTGGGATGAAGTAGAGTTCCAGGCCAGCCTGGAACAGAGTGAGACCCTCTTAAAAAGCCAAAAACATGAGCCAACCAGATACTAGAAGGGGTCGTTCGATGCAATATAGAAAAGAAACCCAAATATGCAGATATTCAAGTTCCTTACATAAAATGGTATAGTATTTGTATATTAGCTACACATATCCTATTATTTTAAACCATCTTTTGATTGCTGATAATATATAACACAACATAACTGCTAGGAAATAGTTACACTATATACAAGAAAAAGGTTTTTTAATGTTCAGTATAGAGTCCCCCCCCAAAAAAAATATGCTCTCAGTATTTATGGGTTGAAACCATAGATACAGAACACATATAGACAGATGGCTGACTATATACAGGAAAGTCCACACGACTGAAGATCAGAAAAGCTGAGTCCTTCTCTGCTCCTAATTAGACAGCACACTCACGTGACCATCACTGAAGTCAAAATATAGCCTATTAGTAGGCCAGTACTCAGGAACTATGATAGAAGGATCACAAGTCCAAGGCCAGCCTGGGCAAAAGCATGTAAAACAACAAAATATAAAATACCAGACCAGCGGCAGCAGGCACCGGAGCCTTAGGTGAGTCTGGGCGCTGCTCTGCGCCCCAAACTCCCCCATCAACCCCTGCTCACTTCTGCCTGAGCCCACCTAGACAAGAGTGGACCTGCCCAGACCGGAAGGCCCACCCTGAGTCTGGACACACCTCACCCGTCCACACTCCACCCTCTGTCCTGTGGTGGGTGCCCAAGCCTCAGAGCCCTCATCCAGTGGCTGATGGAAGCAGAAGGCACACACCCACAGATATACACTGAACAGAACTCTGAAACTTGGTTGCAGAGAGGGAGGAATGAAGATCAAAGGTGTTGGTACCAGGCTGGTGAAACCCACAGAAACAGCTGGCCTGTACAAGGGGGAGCACATGG